GTGTTGGTGGTGGTGTGTGTTGGTTGAATTTTTTGGCAGCCTGGGGAGGATGAAGGCCGGGCCTAAAATTCCACACTTACTCCTCAGAGTCCTTTCACTTTACTAATGAGCCAGCCACACTGCATCTGACTGCGCCGGTCACCGCTCCGACAAGATTGTTGTTGTTTGTGTTTTGCTTACGAGCTTATTCACACGCTAGATTTCCCCGTCGAGGCACGTTCTACGTCTGTGGGTGTGACTTTTCTTTTTTCAGTTGACCGTAATTCTTTTAGAGGCTTGAGAGGAGCAATTGACTCTCTTAAGCTTGAGACTTTTTGGAGGGGGGGCAAGGACACACGCCTTACACAGGGAGGACACAATATCTCAGAGCTCGTTGGGCCGTGGTAATCTGATGCTGGGAAAGTTTGGCTCTTTCGAGGTTGTGGTTTGGTCAAATTAGATTCCAGGGTAGATTCCAGGGTCTTTGGAGGTTCGGTTCGTTCGACGGAGGCACGGAGGATGAAAGGAGTGACACGGTCTTCTCGGTGCTGAAGGGGAGAAAGTGAAGCATGAGGCGCTCATTCCTCCATCGCCCCTTTCTCGATTGGCCTGCTACTGTTCAATCGCGAATGGGACTTCACCATGATGCCCCTTGTCGGCGTTTCGTATGAACGTTTCTAAAGTCTCGTCCCGAGAAAAGGAAAGAACAGGAAAGGAAAAAAAAAAAGCTTGACAAGACGAGAGCGAACTGTTTGGGCTTGCTCTCGACAGAGACTGCCCAATCGTCATCGGGCATCGAGTCACCTGGTCACAAGACGTTGGGCAATGACACATGCCTCGCCTTCGTCTGATCTCGTCGACCTCTCTTTCTCCGTCTCGGTTCCTTCCAGAATGTTCAAGGGAAGAACCTCGACCACATGGCCGTTTGGGGGGAGGGCAGGAAAGCCTTCCAATCTTCAGTGCCGTCACTGCCGTCACTACCGTCAGTGGTTGTCGAGAAAATATGCCATGAGGCTCAAACTCTTTATCCTCGTCCCTTGGTGCATACACACAACCACCATCTTTTCCTCGGTTCTCGGGCCCCGGAAGCTCGGTCATCGAAAGAATGGCGAGTCACGGAGAGAGAGAAGCGTCCTCTCTCTTTCCCGTGCCTTGTGAAAAGTTGAGGCGAGGTTTCATGAGCCGCGGATCTTTACTTCCTCCATGGGTTTCGGGGTGGAAGGGATATCTTCCATGGCTTTCCCCCCCGGGACAATCAAGAATGAGAGAATCGGGGAGCGTCATCGGCCGAAGGAGGGTTCACCTCGTTGGCCTTTCCCTCCGATGACGGCTTCCCCGGTTTCAAGGCTCAGCATGAATGCGTGTGTGGCTGGTGCTTTCTCTGAAAAGTGTAGATCGCTGTCCACCTGTTTTTGTCCCTTTTTTAGGTATTCCTTGCTGTGTCGATCATTGCGGTTTGGAAATGTTTCGTTTCAAGGGAGGGCGGATGCTGTCGCCAAGTGTCAAGGTGTCTCTTTCCTAAGTCGGAGAATTTTGGTACATTTGTACATTCTTTGTAGATTTGCCATCTTTGCCCGGCATGGTATTTTGGTCAAAAAGTTTATCCAAGTTACGTAGAGTAAAGATTTTCAGCGGCGTGGTGATCTTTGAACCCATTTGGACAGCATCGGAACGTGGCGGTTACCGGTTGTGGTTTGATGGTGGAGGTCGAAACGGGTTGTATGTGGAAGTGATGGACGGTACGTTGTTGGTGATCGTCGGTCACGAGTGATACAGGAGGATATGTCAATCTTGTTGCTTCGTGCGAGGACTAAGCAACGTATGCCAGCCCCTGTCCAATGGTATATCGCGGATGTAGGAACGAAAGCCAAGTTCGATCATCGATGTTGATGCGGGACTGGACGAGTCAGTTGCCTGCTTTGATATTCTTCTCGCGTGGCATGTCGTGTATCGTCAGATATCGGGCTGCCGCGAAGTCGTATGTCATATTTTTTGCTTACGTATAAAGATACAAGTGAGTATAGAACTCAGTCATGGGGTTCGACATGTGAGTCCTGAGGAGGTAAGCTGACTGGCGAGTGAAATGTGATGAGACACGATTGACATGTGGTTTGACGCTGACTTCCTTCTGCTTACGTGTTAACGGCAACATGGGCAATGAGGTCCCTTTGACTTTGATAACAGGTGGGAACTGTGACTTCAGAGCGATGGGGACAGTTGAGTCCTCATTCAAGTCCATGAGCGAGTGTTTCTTCGAGTGCTTACTGCAATTACCTTCTACGCCGGCAGGGCACGCCAGGGAAGTAGCAGTACTTTGTTCGTCCGCAGAATATAAAGTAGTCATCGGGCTCTGAAGAAGAGAGAAGACCTTGCGGGGACCATGTGTTCTATCTAGGGCCATTGCTGTAATACTTTCATATGGCTGGCATTAAAATGTAGATGTTGTCTTATGGTGATCTGATGGATGTATACTGGGATATATTTGTCGTGCAATCAAACATCATGAAGCAGCATTTGCTCTATCTTCCACACACTTTTCCTTCTCAGCCGCCACATGTATTGTGTAGATAAGTGCATGTAGTTCTGACGACCATGTGCAGGTTGTATCGTGTTCTTTATAGAGTTCAGAGTGTTCTATAGGCATGCAGTTGTGACTCGGTGTATTTCACAGTACCGCTGGAAACGTTCAGCGACGATTCGTAGACGAAGAATATGTAGCTAGCTTGCACCTTTGCCTTGAGAATCTAGCATTCTGAACCTAGTACCTGCATAGATACGTCGCTCGTCTCTAGAAGCAATGAGTTCTGACTCAAGGACATTTCGTAAACATCTTTCATCTTTCATATCGCCAAGATAGCTGCGTTTGAGGGACGCGATTGAATATCTACACGATGCCAGCTATCGGATGACGTCCAACTTTGATATAAATACCTAGATAAGGCATGGTACCAGGACGTGAAGTAATCTGCGATGTATTGATCTCAACCATCGAAGTTCACGAAGGGATGGATAAACCAGAGTTGCAGCATTTGGCAGGATCCTTCTTCAGAAGTCATCAACACGACACTTCGGATAAGGAGAGAAGATGAAGGGTCGAAACCATGTAAGCGTCAAATCAAGTGAGAACGACTAAGAATCGCTCAGCATAATTCACTCATCTAATTTAAACTGAGAGTTTATCAAGCCTCCTTAGATTGAACGTAGCTGTGGAGTGGTGTTGGCTAACCAGGAAGAAATCGGGATGACGAACAGGGCATGACAGATTATCTCCAAACGGCTCGCCAGCAAATACGAACACAGCTAGAGAAGGCCACAGGTCAAGGAACAGATGTGAGGTCTATCGAAAGGTCAGAGGAAAGGAGCTGCCATATATACACATATATATATACATTTATATAGACTTGTCTTTGAAACGTCAGTTCCGGATAGCTCAGAACTGATAGACTCGGTAATTACCACCCCCCACGACCAATCTTTTAGTATTTATCTCTATAATAAGACGTATACAGGCAAGAACTGACTGATATCTCCGATCTGAATGAAACTATCAGCAGGTCACTAAAACTGTTTCTCGTCTTGCTCGAATGAATGCCCCTAGATTCGACCCCGGTATCCGCGAGAAATTCGGAAGTAAGATTTATCATGAACGCCCATCTCCTCTCCATATCAAACGGCTGCAGTCTGATAGACCTGAGAGTGAGGCTTAGTGCGAGGTATGGTGGATGTTCGGTAAGGAGACTGGGCCACAGTGATGGAGTAGGAGGAATGGGTAGCCATGCTCACGGTTGCAGTTGCCTGGATAGTACTGCCTTGACATCAGCGGACATTCTTTTTCGCATGATCCTAGAAACACGATACACTCCTGCTACTGTAATTACGTAGTGGCACATATTCATTTGCAAGAGGGCCATAGCAACTTGATCGAGATAGGTATCTCAGGGGACATGATGAGCCAAGATTGCTGTCCTCATTGGGTTTCCATATAGTTCATTACAACTGACTTCTTTGCGATAGGTGTGGTAGGAAGGCCAGATGCCATGAAAGACGTTGTTTTTAAGTCGGTAAAACTTGGACCAAAAACACAAAAGAGTTCACCCCCCCGGGTGCTGAACTGGGGGCCACATCTCTTGGTGCTCATGCTGGGAAAATCGAACTCGAACTCGAACTCGAACTCGAAGCCTGTCGCCAAATAGGCTGTGGGCGTGATTAATTATTGTTGACCATTAATTGTTCCACCACCCAGCCAGTTTGACCTGACCCGTCGACCTAGACGGGCGCCTCCTGGCTGGTGGCAGGAATGGGATTGAGGGGACCTATAAGGGCATCTTCTGTAGTGTATTCTGTAGATAGGATGTACATACGAATACACGGGAGCGCCTGACCCCTTTGTGCTGACCTAGCGCACTTATTATCGATGGTGGCTACCGTAGAAGAAGGCATTGGGATCACACTGGTCTACCAGGACCTGAATAAGACACACAGTTTGGCTGCATCGTCAAGCTGCGAATGTATTCAACTCGCAAAGCAGAATGAAGACTGTTAGGGTTAAAAAGCGTGCGGCAGAAAAAGGGTGCGGCAGATAATGAAAGTGAGGGAGACTCGGTATAGTACGTGGTTGTATATTCCACGAGCCCGGTGATCACACAGTTGATGTTTGCTGCAGAACATCTAGCATCACCAACGAGTTGAGTTTTCATCCGTTAGAAAAGGTCGCACACAACAGTGAGTTGACTGCAGTCAAATATACTCTCAAGCTATCCAACCGCACATAAAATTAGAAGTCTCGCCCACGCTTGCTTGCATCTCGAAGATGCAACATGCGGTTGATACATGAGGTAGACACGATGTTGATGAGAAATCATTAAACTGAAGTCCAGAAGCTGCATACGATACAAATGCTGCTTAGGAGCATAAAGTTGCGCCAATGCGTGTTTCTCTGTTCAACCAGCTATGAGAGATTAAACGGGGCTGCTCCGTGCACTGCGGGTCATGTGCTCTGCAGCGTGACCAAAGTTTCTCCCGCTAGCCGAATCGCGAATGGACTCAGCCGAAAGATTCCTGCCTGCGACCTCACCCGAGCTGCCTCTAGCAACACATCCCCATTGCCAGCTCAGCCCATCATGAACTCCTTCCGCTTCGCGCGCGCGGCTCTCCGAGCCCGCCCTGCTGCCTTCCGCGCTCCCCTCCAGCGCAGAACCTACGCAGATGCCGTCCCGGACAAGGCAAGCAGCCCGAGCCTGCATCCTCCGAGCCGGAGGCATCCCGAGTACCCGCTGACCATTCGCAGATCAAGCTGAGCTTGTCCCTTCCTCACCAGGTACGAATTCGATAATACCCGAGATCATTGAACGAGAGACGAGACGACGATACGAGGGGGATGCAAGGCGGAAGTCAATTGAAGGATCGGAGCTAATTGCCGCAACACGCAGTCCATCTACCAGTCCCAGGATGTCGTCCAGGTCAACATCCCCGCCGACTCCGGCGAGATGGGTGTCCTCGCCAACCACGTTCCCGCCATTGAGCAGCTGAAGCCCGGCCTGGTCGAGGTTGTCGAGGAGAGCGGCCCCAGCAAGCAGTTCTTCCGTACGTCACAACCGAGATGGAGCTTTTCAAGGGATAGGAGAGAAGCAGGAGACTGACAACGACGGTGTTTATAGTGTCCGGCGGCTTTGCCGTTGTCCAGCCCAACTCCGTTCTCAGCATCAACGCCACCGAGGGATACCCCATTGAGGACTTCAGCGCCGAGGCTGTCAAGTCCCAGCTCGCCGAGGCCCAGAAGGTCGCCAGCGGCAGCGGAAGCGAAATGGAGATCGCCGAGGCGAAGATTGAGGTTGAGGTGAGTTGCCTTCCGAGAGTAAAACGCCCGAGAGATAGAGAAGAGACGCTAACTGTACTTTTGCAGGTTCTTGAGAGCCTCCAGGCTGCCCTGAAATAGAGTGTAAAAGAAGGTCGTGGCAGACACATGACGTTGTACATCAAGACTCGGATTCCCTTAACTCTATCTAACATCGCATAATTGAATCCACTTGCGACGTTTCTAGCGTTCTTTCTCTGTCAGAAAGACCATCATTGCGTGCATGCTATGGATGTTACTTCATGTATCAGACGGTCCTTCCGCGAGTGACTGCACGGGTCTAGGCTACCCCGGATACCAGGCCGGTCCTGTCTCCTACTCAAGAGAAGCCCCTGCCTGCGTTCTGCCTTTTGAACTCGTCCTAGAAACTACTTATCCTGACCTCACTCGAGGCAAATTCTCTTCCCTAGGTAACGTTCCGCATCGCCCGTCAAGGAGCATCGTTTCTCAACCCCCCACGGCCCATCTATTACAGTACCAATTTGCACTTCCCACGACATCATACAGTATCATTCAATCATTACCCAATTGTTTCTCAAGATGGAAGATCCCTTCGTTGACGACTTTCCCCCGCCCCGAGCCAATATCTTCGCAACGGAGCCCGACGATGGTGACATCCCAGAGGGCCTTGTTTCTGCCCGACGGCAGAAGTTCTCAAGACGACCTTCTACTCGTGTAGTGAGCCGCAAATCATCACCTCTAGGCGCGAGGGAACGCGAGAGCACTTGGTCTGGCTAGGGTCAACGTACCAACAAGGTCTTCGCGAGACCAGCAACGCGCAACACTCAAACCGCAGAGTCCAGGGTTCCGTCTCAAGACCACTCATTTTTCGGACAGAGTCCAAAGCAAGCTTCCAGAAGCAACAGCCAAGCCGCCATACCTGCGTTACGTCTGCAGAAGTCAATGTACCTCACTCCTCCGCGAGTAGCTGACCCAGAGCCTATGCAGCTTCGCCAGGCCGCTTCAACTGGCCGGCTTCGAACGGGACCGAGCAGAACGCTGAATCGGCCTCCAAAGATTCCCATGGCAATGATGTCGACTGCATCAAGCCCGCAGAAGCCACGACACGTCTCCAATCACTCTGTTTCCTCCACCCAGTCGTACGGGACTGAGCTCACTACTTCGACCATTCGAAAACGCCATGCTCGGGACATCTTTGTAGAATTTGGCATCTCCCGTCCATCGGGATGGCTCTCTGACGACGAAGAAGAGGATTTTTCGCGTCACCGAGATGGAACCAACAGTATTCCCAGGCATGTTCTCAACACTTGCCATTCCTGCGGCGCCGAGGTGACTTCTCGCACTTTCTGCTCCACATGCGGCCATGCGGTGTGTCCACAATGTGCCAGCGAAATACCTGACGATGACTCGATCGACTTCGAGCATACTGAGAGAACTCATCGAAATGCTGTAGCCAGTCAGCATCACACCTCAAGGCTAACAGAGGAGCATGTTGAATCACCCTCTAGCCTGGAAGCTACCGGGACATCGAAGAAGAACCAGAGGGCCCCGGCCACCTCGGTCAATCTCAATGAAAACCCCTTCATACTCGCAGACAGGATGACGAAGATCACTACGGCCGAACCTCAGATCACTGACATGACGGTTCGTGCCGGACAAGCATCAAGGCTTTCAGATTGCGTTCCCAGGCAAACGGACCTGAACGTCGCGGAGACACACGGAGATTATGGGAATCCAAAGTGCAATGCCACCCATGCCGGGCATCATTCTGGCCGCCCCAGTAGTGCATGTATCGTGGAGCAGCAGAGCTCAGTAAACATAGATGACTCGGAGCCGCTACGGCCACATCTTCCGCTGGAGGATCCCGTCCAAAACAAGATTGACCAAATGTACCACCACGCCGAAGACCTCAGACGTGCACAGCATATCATGGAGCACCTGGCCACTGGTTCCGCTGGAATTTCAGCAAGCAAGCAGAACTCTCAATACGCCACACCCCTTGAACAGCAGATGCAATCCTGGACCGAAGGTTCTGACGCTGATCGCGAGAAGCTGATTAGCTTCGATGCGGCGATGGCCGAAAACAGCGAGCACGCCAGGGCCTAGGACGTTCTTGGCCTCGAGAGGTCACAGTCTCTGAACGTAGATCCAGTCAAAAAGAGAGGCTCAGAGTCTTTGTTTGTCCGTGCTGGGGGACAACTCTCACGTTCTCCATCATGGCTGAAGAGCCCAGGCCAGGTGTCAGATCGCACGAAGAACAGACTGACTGCGATAGGGACCAAAAGTCTTCCTCAGATGAAGACGCCCAGCCGACGAGATTCCGTCGCGGAGACAGCCAGTCCAGCATCTGCGGCATCTCTGCAGAGTGCCAAGAGTAGTGGTCACTTGATCCAGGGCCAGTTTGAGCAGCTCAGTTCCCCAACAGGCGGAGCATCTATTCAGTGGCCAAAGTTGAAGAAGGTCCGCAAAGAAGCAAACTTGGAAGCGGAAAAGGAGCCGCTTCCGTGGCTACAGAGACCGTTGCGCCGTGTGCATAAAGAGGGAAACACATCGCAGCAAGCTCAGGAACAGAAAGCTGCCGACGTTGAGTCGTGGAGATCGCAGCTTCGAAAGGTCTCATCCACAGAAGCAGAGTCTTCTGAGGTACACCATACACATCATGTCGATCGCAAGCGGGCGGACAGTTGCGTCTCATGTGGTCATGGCAAACCATCGCCACTGCATGTCCCTCCAGAGGAGAGGAAGAGTACATCGAATGTTGCCACAACCTCTGCGAAGGGGACCGACAACACGGAGCAAGGCGCACAGGAGGACCAAGCTTATGCAATGAGGCATAGGCGCCTTGAAGAGATGAAGAAACCGGTCTCCCAAAGATCGAGCTCGAGGACCTCGACGACAACGAAGGTGGAATCAAAGACTGTAAGCCAAGTCGCCCGGACTTTGGAGGCCACCTACTCTGCTTCGGAAACGGTCGAAGCCGAGGAGACCCTTGATGAAAGCGGCGTGCAGCCGGTGACCCGATTATCCCGTTCCCTTGACGACGAGGTTGAAGTTTTCAGTCCTCTACCAATCATGCCACCGAATCACACATGCTCTTGGAAGGAGAGGTATCTGAATCTGACAGCGGAAGTGCGGGAGTTGAAGGCGGAACTTGTGTCTCAGGAACGACGTGACGCGCCTGGGCTCGTGGACGTGGGTGTCAACGTCAATCGAGAAGATGACTACGAATTAGGAGTTGAAGGGCTTACTATAGTCATGCATCTCAGAGGTAAAGATGATTTGATCATCAACACCGACTTGACGCATGCTTCTTCCGGACTTTGAGACGAGGGAATAATGCTAGGTTGGAATTACTTTTGAACGTAGCGGATGGGCAGGGAATGAGATTATGATAGCAGCATGGATTAGACTTTGCGAAACCCCCGAATAAATTGCTATCATCGCTATGTCGCTGAACATGACTCTGCTCAGCGTTGAGTGACCAGTGAAGTTTGAGCAGATGAGGCTCTTGGGACGGGTTTGTAGAATCGGCATTGTTCGTCACCAGAAGAGAAGCACAGAAGAGAAGCACAGGTGCAGAGGGAGAGGCGGTGAGGTTGTACATCACTACTACGGCTGTCGAGCCTGAGATGGAATAGTATCTAGACAGCCGACCCTGAATAATGTTCTGGATAAGAATCAATCCTGCCTGTTTTCCAATTGACCGAAAGGCGAAGCTTGAGCTATTGCGTGTATATAGATGGGTAAAAGCTCCATCTTCACTTCTAAGAGAGGCAGCGATTGTGCCACTCATAGAACTCGGGGGGGCGGGTTGCGTTACTTGTACCGATACTTCCTCATAATTTGAACGTTAAATATCATTTTGAATAAGATGCTGCCTGCACGCCGTATCTCATCTACATGTCATGCCGAACGTCTAGATTCCCGAACCCCGTGGGACCTGGTGAGAGGCCAATCGAGTAAGGAGAGAAATGCAAGTACTTTCGGTCTATAGGGTATCAAGACGTGCCCCCACCCACCTGAATCTAACTACCCTACCCTAACCGTAACCATGTTGACTTGCTGTTTAAAGCCTCTTGTGATGGAGATGTTGCCATCTGACCCGTTTTAATCTTTGTACGAGTTGTATGTGTTTATTTGGAGATGCCCGCCCTCGATCTGGCAGGGTTCCAACATTGCCTCTTTAGAACTAAGGCTCTTGGCCTACGCAAACTCTTGGCGTTCAAAGAGCCGAGACGGTATCCGTGGCGTCGGTCCCGGTCGTCTTCGCAGAAGGGGCATCGTGGGCGACCTTCATAGGCCTGCCCTGAGCCTTTTCGGTCAGGCTGACGAGCTCCTCCAACATCAGGTCTCGGGTCTTGCGGGTGAGCTCGTCGACGTCGGCAGCGGTCAGGCCAGTAGTGGGAATAGGGTCCAGGACTGCACAACTGTACGTTAGCATGTATTCGGCGGCGGGAGGACACATAGACAACCGAGCACTTACCCTTGACGGGGATCTTTCCAGAATTGAAGATGAGGCCCTTGAGGTAGAGTACGTGGCTGTAGTTGGCGACAACGCAGGGTACGATAGGCACACCGGCCTGAACTGCAAGGTGGAAGGCGCCTTTCTTGAATGGCAGTAATACGGGATCTTTGGCGTAGCTGCGGGTGCCCTCGGGGAACATGTAGACGCTCTGATTCCTCTTGCGAATCTGCTCAGCAGCGCCAGCCATGGCATCTTTGGCATCCTTTGTGTTCTTGCGGTCGATGAAAATGGAGCCGCTCAAGCTCATGAACCAGCCGAGAATAGGCGTCTTCTTGAGGGAGGCCTTGGCAGTGACGCTGCAGTACTTGGGGAACATGGTACCCAGCATCAGGACGTCGAGCTCGGTTTGGTGGTTGCCGACAAAGACAGCAGGGCGGGTAGTGTCGAGAATGTGGTTGGGATCAACGACCTCAAAGGTGACGCCCGTGGTGACGGCCATGATGTAGTACAGGAAGCGGCCGGTCATCCATTGCGCAATGCCCTGCTCGCCAATGAGGGTCAGGAAAATGGAGGCAAAGACACCCCAGCCGGCCGCTACGGCAAGCGAGATGTACGATGCGAGGACACGAGCGCCAAAGGCGGCCTTGGGAACGACGAAGGACAGCATGTAGAGGGCGACGACAAGGGCGGCATAACCCTTGAAGAAGGAGTAAATGTAGCCCAGGAAAGCCGACATGGCTGCTGGCGATGGAGGGTGCGTGGCTGATTAGGAACGGCGGCAGATGGGCGTAAAAGGAGACAGGCGCGCGGAAGCTTGGAGGCGATTGAGAAATCGGACTGAGCGTGCGTTAAGCTTCTTTGGGGCGCGCCTCGGGAGGGCGGATGTGTTGAGGAGGGAGGTTTTGGAGGCGGGGTTGAGGCCGTGGAACGGAGGATCGTCGCAAGGGCGCGGCAAAACGATGGGATTTTCTGTCTCTGGGGAACGATGACAGGCCAGCAGTACAGATGCTAGGAGGAGAGATGGAGAGGGAAGAAATGGAGGATAAGGCTACAGCTTCCGAAGACACATGTTCCAGGGGGTGGATAGGAGCACAAGGTATCCGTATGAATGTGTGTCTCAGAGAAGGTGGGAGGGGAGGTTAGGTTGACAGAGACAGAGAGACAGAGAGACTCGACTCGCAATGACGATGTAAGGGAATCGGAATTGGTGGGCGCGGACCAGCGAGAAGATGTTAAGGCAAGTCAGGGTCAGCTTGCGACGGGTCACAGAACTGCAAGAAGTGGAAACGGGAAGCGCCAAGTGGCGGGATCATGAATGGGCACTGGCAACTGGAAGGTCTCTGTATGGCAAGGACGGGATCGGTAAATTGTACGGATATTGGTGGCATGGTGCTGCACACCGCACTTCAAGCTCTTTGGATTGGCGGGGGAGAGAGATAGAGAGGCCGAGACTGAGAGGAAAGGGCCCTGGTCACAACCGTTAATCAACCGAAGTGTGGTGACTATGGTCATGGGTCGTGACGGGGGGTCATAAGCATCCATGGCTACCTTACCTTACGAAGTAGGTACATAAGTTGTTACTCCCACAAAATACTCTGTAAGGAAAGGTGTGGGGTTCCCTGTCGGCTCGTGTCCCGGACAAATATTTTTTGGTGGGATGACTTTTTGGCTGTCCTGGGGAAGAAATGCCCCTCCAGACTTCCGGAGGCTCAAGTCGTTGGGATTCGGAAAGCCGGCGACGACTGGATTGGTCCAAATCGCCGACCTCGTGCCTTGTAGGACCTAAACCATAAAACGGTCCCTTGCTTTGCCATGAGGTGAGTTGCAGAGGTATACCTACCTAGGTGAGGTAATCTGTGGTCTTCAAGCCACCGTCAACCTCAAGGTCATCACGGCTAGGCTTTTTAAGGCGGTTGGGGACGGGGCATGTCCAGGACCAAACCGTTATGGGCGCTAGACCTGATTGTTCTTGATCTCCTGTCGGTAGGCCGCTAGCACATGTCATTGTCCCGTCTAACGCCCACCATGTGTTGATTGGGAAGGGCAGACGACGGACCAGCGGGACACCTGATGAGAGAGAGGGGGGGCGGGTAGAGACAGACATCAAATTTTGAGACGAATTCTCTGTACTACTCACCACAGCTAGTGCATTGAATGTCTTAGCTTAAGTAAGGACACCGCTTGAACGCTGAACCGGCGGTTAAAAAGGGTTGGGGATTCGAGGAACCAGACAAGTTCAGACGGGATGATGACTGGCGCGCTTTGCACGTGTAAAGTGCAGAGGCAAGTTCTGAGTGCATACATACCTATCTCAAAGTGTTCAAACTTGCAAGTCTAGACTGTCGTGCCTCCCTGACATCCAAAAGGCATGTGGAGTGGGGCAAAGAATGTTCCCCTCCTCCTCCTTCAATGCGGTCACTTTGCGATGCCTCAAAAAGCATGTGGCAGGAGTCAGGACCTGCACTCTTCCCCAGCGATTCAGATTCAGATTCAGATTTAGATTCAACCCGCTGCTTCTGTCTCGGAATCCCTCCGTCATACGTACTTGCGTTACCTAAGGCAGAGGATCCTAGGCAAGTCGAATCTGGTACCAGATGCCTCAAATGTCTCTTCCAAAACCACAGCCCTTCTCTGGACTTTCTTGCCCATGCCATTAATGTTTACTTCAACATTCGCAATTTCAGCTTCTCGATGCCGAACTGCCCATCATGGATTACCTAATCCTCGACATGGCTAAAGTGGACGCTGGTCCAAGCTGCGAGGCCAGGGTACCCGTGCATGTCCAAAATGGCAGGGGTTTCTTATCGATAACCCTTCACGGTCGAAATGCTGACTAACAACATTGCCTTACCCGGTGCGTCCGCCTGGGGTCTGTCTGAGCTCCGCGTCGGTACCTGTTGCCCGACAGCGAGGAGTTCGCAACCTTGATCGCACGACATTCGTCAAACATATCGCACATTACCGCGGAACCATCTTCGATAGTACTGCCTGTCGTCTGCCGGGATAGAATTTACGACAAACCCTACAGCCAGTGCCGAAACGACCAGCGCCTCGGTCACTGGCGCATCTCCTTGCTGCCATAGAGTGACCTTGAGCCCGCTGCCATTCCGCGACTATGCCCTCTCGCCGGGAACCACCCCCCCTCTCAGTTCGCTTGCCGACGGGCAATGCGCAAACCGAACTCCCTCCCATATCCGCCCTCTTCCTCATCGACTTTGACGTCAAAGCTGGCTATACCATTGTTTGGAAACAATCGGCTCCCGGAATCGAACTCGAGGGCCTCGTCGAGTACAAGAGCTTGCCTTCGGGTCTGCACACTGTCCCCGACGACTTGATATACTTTGTGCACGAGGGAGAACATGCTGGTCTCAGCGCTTTCATCAACACGCCATGCGACGAGGAGGAGGCTCGACATGCGCGCATGATTGCCGTCGGCGTCTTGGTGCCCCTCAGCTACGGCCGCCTAGGCCGCGCCTGGAGACATGCTGAAGGTCTCAAGGATATTGCATCGTAAGTGCACATTTGCGAGAGCAGGATGGGAATATCGTTACTTACTATGTATCAGGAAATTGGCCCAGGATCGCAAGAATACCAGTCTTCTTGATGACTATTGGGAGAATAACAAGGCCAAAGAAGGGGCTGAACAAGAACGACCCTCGATGGAGTCTCCTTCCATCAGTTTCAGCTCTCAAGCCGCACAACCAAAAAAGTCGAACCATAATCGCAATCGCTCTGCATCAGACGGAGCTTCCTTACTGCCAAGCGGGCATCGACTGTCACCATATCACCCGGCCTGGAGCCTGACGACGTTGCTGGACACATTCGGGCCACTCATATTCCCTATTCACAGGGCAGCTCTGCTAAGGAGGCGCATATTACTATCGTGCCATGCGCCGGTGCGAGAGATTTGCAACTTTGGTACGTTGCCCCGAAAACCATCTTATGGCCCTCACTGACATCCGAACAAGTGTACAATATTTCTGTTCTTTCAAATATTCCCCAGACCGTGGCCGACTTATTGGCTCCTACATCGTCCTCCCAACGTCTAAGGCCGCTCTTCACCATTGGAGTTCACGATATTCCCTTCTTGGTGGAAGACTTTGAAGCTTCGAAGCGCCGGAAAGTCGACAGCGATGACGACCTGGCGGATGAGGCTGGCTCTGGATGGGTTGCTTGCACGACTGATAGTATCCTTGCCATGAAGGATACTCTGTGGGACATGCTCATCACTATGCCGCCACCGTATGCTCCCAACGCCAAGGAAAAGGCCTGGCCAACTGTGGAATGTCCTCGCGGTACGCCTGTGAAGGCAACACAGCGCGACCTGAGGCGGTTCCGTGCCCTGAAGGCTGGTCTGGCTAGGTTGTCACCAACAACGCCAAAGCCGATGACGGCTGAAAGCCCCCGGTCGGAGACTTCAACGAGTTTTAAGCTGACCACTGGCGCTTTCCCGGCTTCAGCTGTCGAGGGCGACGAAGCTCTGGACAAGATTGTCGAGCCATCAAGTTGGACAGCGTTGGCATACAGTGGATTTATGTGGTGGGCGAGCGCCGGTGAACAGGCACGGAGCGAGGAACAGGAGGAGGCGGCCCACGATGCGGCGCTGCTCGCGGACCTGGGTCTGATGCCCCACATACCGAGCATGTCGAAACCCATTGCGAGACCCCGGTCGTCGGCATCCGGTGGCATGGCTGACTCGACTGGATCCCTTGTCTCCCGGCCATTCGCTGGCGCCGAGAACGAAGAAGCAACGACGGAGCTCGCCGTGATTGCCTACTTCCATCGGTTGACAGCGCAAATGCTTACGGTTATGGCTGATCTGGTGGAGAGTTCGGACGATCGCTACGATGACGAGGATGGCGAAGACGACGCCGATGATGTTCCTCTGAGGACCAACAGTGAGTCGGATCAAAGCTCGGTGCGCGTTGGCAGCGATGCACTCGAGAGTATGGGTCTTGACGTGTGGAACACGCACGATGCGGAGTTTGTTAAGGAACTCATGAGCAAGTACTACGACCGAAGGCCGTACATTGAGGGTAAAGGTGTTGAGGTTTGCGGCGTCCGGGTTTGCTAAGTTTCCAACTGTTTGCGAGAGCGTCGATCTTGTTTTCTCCATTTGTGAACACTTTCGCGTCCTCGCCTGTTCGAGGGACGGCCTTTTTTCAGCTTAGGCACTCTGGAGGGCGTAATAATAGTGCTATGTTCCTATCCGTCTCAAAATCTGTTGCGGGCGTTTGGTTATCATTGTTCTTACTGGACGAACGTGTAGGAACACGTCTCTTGTACATGTCATGGACCTTCTAGAAGGTCAGCAATATAGTTTCATCCGATATCCAAGAGTAACCGCAACAGGGTCCTCTGTGACTATTGGTCGGTCTTTAACAAATGCAGAAGCTTGAGATTGCAGTCCTGGGGAGATGTTGACACTCGGCTATACTCTGGGGTAGCCATTTCATTGCTCACAACTCCGGCATCGAAATTCCGAGGATGTACGCATGTTCCTCGGGCAACCCTGACCAGTCCCAGGGGAAATCCAAAGATTGAGGTTGATTAGAGGAGCGCATGGATTACTAGCGTAGATTTGAATAGGGCTGACCTGGATCACCCAAGCTGGGGGAGCGCACACTGTCGAAGTGGTCAAAATGAGGGGTGAGGGGCAGTGGGAAAATAGTGGCGGTTGCGGATATTGTAGTGGGATGTTTGGCTTCTGGATCTTTCTACGGGTGATACAGTACT